AAAAAGGTGAATATTAAGATAAATGCACAATATTTTCTAATGTTAATATGAAAAATATATGCCTATGCATAGGTGGTGATGCTTGGTATCTAGAAAATTAGATAACCTTTAAGATTTGCACACTTGTCTATAGAAGGTGGGTACTCAGGTGATTATAGTAATGTGCTTGCATGTTAGTTAGGTTGGCTAACCGAGATTCTTTTATAGATTTCTCAAAGTCTAAAAGATTGGTTATAAGATTGGTGATCATGTCACTCTATACATGTGTTTTTACAGGTGTGTATGGATGGAGGAGGGGTTAAAGTTCAACAGTCAAAGCACCTTTTGCATTCTCCAGCTTGAGCTGGATGAGTGAATTAATAAGTGAATAAGTGAATTAATGAGTGAAATTTTAATACAATTCAGAGCATGTTATAGATACACCAAAGTGAACAGGGGGTCTTGCGAAAAGTGTATTTTGTATCTTAACTAGAGCACTGAGCTATAGAACATCTACCTTTAATGTTTCAAATTATATACGTGTTTTATATTTGCAGTTAGCATGCAATTCTAAGGCTTTCTAGATAGTCCCTATGGTGTTCTTTAAATTGCAACAGTTAAAGACATTTGGGAAAAAAACAAAAGAAGTGGAGGACCAGATGTGAAAATGCAGCAACTTCCTCTGCTGTTGTGAATTATCAGCTGTATTCAACCAGAGCATGTAAAGAAAAGGCACTTAAGTCTGTCAGGATCTTGTAGGCTTTTACCACCCAGTCCCACTGATATTTATGGCACTCTTAACCCATATCATTTGACGTGTCAAAAACGCAATCGTAAAATAAGCAGAGTTACTACTATTATTGGTATGATTGTCATTTCTGTGTTTTTACTGATCAGTGCTTTCGAAAAAGCAATTAAGGTACCCAATTATAATTTTGGAACAGGTGAAAATTATACACCAGTTTATAGCCTCCAGAGTGCAGAAGACTTTATTGCAGTTGCTGTTTGCCTTTAACAAGAAAAGATTTTTACCTTATTTCTCCTCTCTAAAGTGCTTTGATTTCTTTGAAATTGAAGATTGACTTGTTCCCCATGACAGCCTGGGCATAACGTGTAGATGTCATTCTGTACACCATAGATTGTGACTCATCCTTATGCAGATCTTTAAGTATATTCTTCGTCCTTTATGTACGATTTATCAAGATTATACCCACTACTAATGATCCTTACATTAAGTATAAAGATATGTGAACGGAGAGTAAAAACATGTTTTGGAACAGAAGGTGGAATTCTGATTTTTTTGTATTAGAATAAGAACTTCCAAGCTTTGATGTGCCTAATAGTTGAATGTCAGCTCCTGCAGTGATGTCATTTTGTTAACTCAGTGATGGCTGATTAGCTTGGTTACATGCTGGGATCAATAGCAGGAATCAAGGCCTGTGGTTGGCAAGTCATTCTAGCTAAGCCCTAGCTACCAAGCTCAAAGATGAGAACAACACCATATTTGTTGGTATTTGTTCTTTTAAATTGTACAT